TCTGGTCAGCCCAGAATAGGCTCTGTCTATTGCTGTCTAACTCCTCTTAGTCTCCAGGTGAGAGCACTAATTCCCTCCAGTACCCAACCCTTACCCCATCCCTACTTCACACCTTCCCCATCCTTTCTTCTTGAGCTGGGGTCTTTGGTCAGATTCCCTGCTGAGAGGTGGAGAAATCCTCCAGCCTGTAGGCCGTTAGTTTTTAGGGATCAGTATCCTGGTGACGGAGTTTGCCACTGTCTTCTCAGATTCTCCACTGACATGGCGTCAACCTCGGCCAGCCCTTTTGAGTTGGCCATTCAGGCTCTGACAGCTAGGCAACATGGATACCTAAGTCCCCCAGCCTGGCCTGAGAGCCAACAATGCCCCCTATACACACTGAGTAGCCTTGAAAATATAGGGAAACTGAGGCACACATCAGGAGGAGGACAGGTCATAAAAATACTGAAGAACATTTTATTTGATTACAGGCTCATTCCAGAGAACTGAATGCCTCATGCACCCCCTCTTCCCAGGTTCTCTAAGCTGCTCCAGCCAGGGAAACCCACATGGAAAAGGCATCAGATGACTCTGTGAGGTGCCTAGAAGGGCCCGAGTCTGGAGCTTACAGATGAGCAGATTTTCAAATAAGCTCAGCAACACCGAAGAGTTCCTATTGCTCTCTGAAGGAGAAGGGAGGAGGGAAAGGGGGCTCTCCATTGTTCTCTGTGGGGAGAGAGGGAGGGGATTTTCCATCATTCTGTGAGATAGAAGGGGAGGGGTCTCTCCATTATTCTCTAGGGGGGAAGGAGGAGGGGATTCTCTATGGTTCTCTATGGGGGAGGGGAATGGGATTCTCCATTGTTCTTGTGGGGGGAGGGGAAGAAAGCTCTCCACATTGTTCTCTGTGAGGGGAAGGGGTGGGGATTCTCCATTGTTCTCATGGTGGGAGGGGAAGAGAGCTCTCCATTGCTCTCTGTGAGGGGAAGGGGAGGGGATTCTCTGTGGGGAGGAGACAGTATGATGGGTTGTATCAGGCCCTTCCAGGCCCTCTGCTAGAGGCCGCATGTGCCTACCATGGCTTGACCCAAGCAAGGAGCAGGAAAGGGGAGTCCTCCAGGCCTGCCTAGTAAGGCTGCAGCTCAGCAGCCCCGTTAAAAGGCACAGCAGGGGCAGGAGCTGAGCAGCTCAGTAGCTGGCTGGGGCCAGGGGAGTGAGGGTGCTGCTCCTTGTGAGAGAGCTTCAGCCCTGAGAGAAGACACGGAGTGAAAGGGGTGGCGTGGGAAGGGGCCAAGGGAGCAGCAGCAGCTGCAGGAAGTAGCACGTGGCTATTTATAGGGGCCCTGGGCTGGGACCTCGAGTTGTGAGTGGGCCTGGGTCTCCCCTTTCCCCTCCCCAAGGCAGAGTGACCAGAGCTGGGAGAAGGGGTAAGAGTTGTTTAGCAGTCCAAGAGAAGCACAAGATGCAGAGTCTGCAGAGAGAAGCCCTTGGAGGTCCTGCTCTCTACCTGGAGACAGGGCTAGAGACATTACCAAGGCCATGGGGCCAAGCCCGGCTGGACCTTTGACCCTGCAAGTGGTTGGTTGGTTTGTGGGCTCAGGCACAGAGTCTCTGCACGGCTTCACCTAGGGCTGAGCCCCTGAAGTCTTGTCTGACTCGGTTAACAGATGCCGGGGGCATCGCTGCAGGGAGAGGCAGGTCCATGTGCACCCCATGGAGGCGCTCACGAGAGGGGAGTGTCCTCAGCACAGGGGGATTCTCCATTGTTCTTTGGGGGGGAGGGGTGCGGAGTGGGACTCAGTGACTGAGGCTGGATACTGAGCTCATCTGAAAATCTGGCCTAGAGGAAGCCGAATGTTTATTGAACAGAGTAAGAAAAGTGGCTGCTCACAACACACACCTTGCAATGAACTGCCCATCTCTCCTGGGACGCCCACACCTGACCAATTCCCAATTGCTCCTGCTGCCACGCAGGCGCAAGGCTGGCTGAGCTGTAGGTTGCCTGAGCCAGCAGTGCCTTTGGGTCACGGAGCCGGCATTACATACCCACAGCGGCAGTGCAACAAGAGCGACAGGCAGAAGGAGCTTCCCAGGCCCCGAGCAAAGCCATGCCCCAGGGGAGGCTGGGATCTGAGTTCACTGCACAGCAGCTGCCTCAGAAAGGAATCTCAGTGTGAACACAACAAGCTCCGCAAGGGGAGAGCCTGGAGCCGTGCCAAACACAGCCTCTGAGGCTGCTCAGGAGCCAGGTGCCTGCCGGCGATTGCAGAGGGAGCAGATGTAAACATGAGATGACCAAGGGGCATCCAGCTAGACAACCCGCGGGGAGAGGATTGCAGGGTAGTCCCATTCGGGGCTTCCCATGGAAGCAGCAGCGCAGCGGGGGCGACAAACAGGTGGGAGCCAGTGCGTGCAGGGAGCTGGCTTAAAAGCCAGATCCCCGGGAGCACCGGCTCCTGCTTCCCCGCCCCTGTATGTAAACATGTAACCACTGAAAAATTCAGCGATTCCGCGTGTAAACAAACACATTTTAACATCCCTAACACAAGGGGGCTCTTAGTACCCCTAAACAGCTCCAAGGACTTGGGAAGAGCAGCGCGGGGGAGCCCCAGCCCTGGGCATCACCTTCGCCTGGCGGATTTACTCAATCCAGAAGGGGGAAGAGCTAGAGACCTGGAGTAGAGAGAGCAGGAGCGGCCCTAGATGAGCTGCCAGCAACTGGCGCCCTAGGTGAAATGCGCAATCAGCGCTCCCGCCTCCAAAGCCCTCAATGGCTGTTTATCTTGGCGCCCTAGTTTGCCTGTATTGACCACCTAGTTTGCCTGTATTGACCGGCTGCCACTGACAGAGAGAGTCACTGGGGAAGAGAGACAGCAGGAGAGACCTGGCCAGGGAGGCCCTAAGGGCATGCTAGGGTGCAAATCTCTGCAGTGCTGATGCTGTTTGACACTGGCTTCCTCTCCAGCTCTCCCACTGACCCAGCGGTATCTATTCAACCAATTAGGTCGGCTTCACTGTGCCACTCAGAGCTGTGGGTTTTTCACGTAGGCAGCTTATGCTGCCCCCACTCTAAGCGTCTGTCCCAAAATGCAGCTTCCCCCTCCCCATGTAATTGCACATGACACTAGGGATGTTAAATATCGGCTAACTGAATAGTCGATTAACCTCGTGAATTCTTATTGGTTAGTCGACTAGTCTACAGGCCAGCCCCTGACTGGGGGCGAGAGATCTGAGCTCCTGGACTCAGCACAAGCCAGAACTGAGCTGGGCTGCCTGCCTGCCTCAGGGCTGGCCTTACCATGAGGCGAACTGAGGCGGCCACCTCAAGTGCCAGACTGTGGGGGGGCGCCACTAGGACCCAGAATGTAGAAAATTGTGTCTGCTGCTGGTGCGTATGTATATTCTCTCTGCTCTAGATGCACAGAGATGGGGGAGTGCTGTGCTGGAAGAAAGAGAGCACAAGAGACAACAGGCAGGCAGGAGAAAAGGGGGCATGAGGGTGTCATTTGAGCGCCCCGCCTTTGGTGCCAAAATGTTGTGGCTGGCTCTGTCCTGCCTGGCTTCTAACACACTTTAAATGCAGCGCCCCAGCGGGGGTGGGTCCAGGATCCAATGCAAGCCAGGGCTGAGCTGGACTGCTGACCAGCCTGCTAAAAGATTTACTGACAAGGGGTAAGGGGAAATGCGTGTAGTCTATAGCATTAACCTGTAAGTTTTTTGCATATCAGTTAATCGACTACACTATTACATCCTACATGACTCCAACTTAATAACGCCACCTGGTGAGAGGCACAGCGCCTAAGTCAACGTCATTAGGGTGAGGTTATGCCAGGGTAGATGCTGCATCATTTAGTGCCTGCTTGGCTGAGTCCTCTTTTCCCCTTTCTGCTTGGGAACATTCATTTCCCTTTTCCACCCCCGGCTTCCATCACGTTGTCTAGGGTTCCCCAGCTCCTGTACTTCACGTCCTTTTCCCATCTCTGACTGCATCTCACTTCCTCTCTTCCATGGGCCCTGAGTGGCTGCTTTCTTTCAAAAGGGGAAGGGATGCCAGGTTGTTTCTACCACCACCGGATGTGGCAACCTAGCCACGATTCCAACCCATTTCCACCTGAAGTTTCCCCAGACCTTCAGGGGGATCTCAGCCACTGGGCAGAGCTTTATCTCCCCACAGACGCACTCCAGACTCAGCCGATCTCTGAGCAGGATCCAGTGTGGCTTCACCACATATTTCCTAGCCATCAAACTCCCTGATACGGTGTCCACTAGGCCCTTTTCGCATCCCTTCCCTTCCTTCATCAAGACAATTGGCATTTTCCTCCATCATGGGTCCCAACCACACTGAGCCAGTTCACATTCCACAGAGGCAGCCTCTTTTTATAAGTACTTGTCTCTCACATTGGTAACAGGTAATTTCCCACCGCCCTGGAAGGGATTCTCTGTAGGCTTCTTCCCCACCACTCTCCAACGCTCTTTCCTAGCTTGGGCCCATTAAACAAATTTCTCTCACAGGGAAAAATCGGCTTCTTCAAACTCTTCCATGAGTTTTGCTGCTGCCTCCAGCATTGTTTGTTAGTGCCTCCTGACCCAGACGTGGGTGTTTTCCAGGAGGCGTGGCAGAAATTGCTCCAGGAATCCATGATTTCGCCCTTGGTCTGCATGCTTGGCTTTAACCAGACGATAGCCCAGTTACCCTTCGGGCATATGCTGTAGGGCATACATCTCCATCTAGCTGCCCCAAACTTCTGCCAATACTTCTCTACAGACTATCCTACTTGTACGAAGATGGCTGCCTTAACATCCAAGCCCTTGGTCAGTTTGCTATCCAAGACCACATAGATCACTTGAGCTCCCTGCCAAATAGTGCGCTGTGGAGGTGGGGGCACATTCTCCTGTTCCAGCCAGCCCCCATTGCTCCCCTCTCGAATGTGGTTAAAAAAATCATTGGGGTCAGTGGCAGGCTCCATTTTACACGGACTGACCCTTGGGCTCAAGTTTCCATTCCCCATACCCAGACTCACCAGTGTCTGAAGCCACTGCTGCTGCACTTGTGCTTGCTCCCTGATAAAATTCTGCAAACTCCTCAGTTGCTTTGCTTGCCAAGCCAGCCCGGATTGTCTCTCCAGCTGGTGTGCCTGTTGGAAAGATTGCATGCTCTGTTGCAGCTTCTTCTGCTGGTCCTTCAACCACGGCAGAGTCCACTCCATCATCCAGCTGCCAAATATTGGCAGCAGCCTCCCCAACTGGGAGAAACAAGATCCCACAACAAACCCCCACATGCCACGGGGCACGGCTCCTGTCCCACCTTCTTCCCTGCAGACACTGCATGGGCTCCAATGGTTGTGCCTTCACCAGTTCTCTAGCAATCCCTGTGCAACAGCATATTCACAGCACCACCGTCCAACCAGCCTGATTCTCTAAGGGTGCATCTACACTACAGAGCTATTTCAGGATACTGGAAATATCCCAAAATAGATATTCTGCGTCTATTGAAGCAGCCTGTTATTTCTAAATAGATTACGAAATAACAGGTGGCTTATTCTGACATCCTGGTAACCCTCGTTCTATGAGGGTTAAGGGGCATTTCAGAATAGAGAGTTATTTCGAAACACCCTCGAAATAAGTGATGCAATTTGCATAGCTTATTTCAAGCTAAGAGTGCTGTGCAGACACACCCTAAATTACCCCCCTAAGCTCTCTCAAGGGGATCTATGTACCATCAGAGTGATCAGAGTACCGGCTCACCTGGTCGCACCCTGTGTTTTGTCATAGGGGACCACCATGGACCACCACCTGAAAGACATCTTTCCTAAACTCCCTGTTCTGGCCTTCAAACAATCTGCCAGTTTCAGTCACCAAACTCCTCATCAGAAACAAGCTGCGCACAGATCAGGACCCCCCAGCGGCACCAGCCCCTGCCATAACAGATCTAAAACCAGCAGATGTGACACATCTGCTGTGATTATCAGTAGCCTGCACAACACACCTTTCAAGAGCCATAGGTCCTCCCCTGGCCTATTCCAATAGCTGCTGTACCAGATTCTGTGCCCTAAATACCCCCAATGACCACTCTGTGGGCAAAAAGAGACCAGCACGGTGCTCTCAAATGAGCACACACTGAAAAACACTAGAAGACAAAAACACCATCACCCCCGGGTGTGAATGCTTTGAAAAGCAATCATTCTAACTTGACCTCCCAATCCGCATTCTCAAAGGAAACCTGCACAACACCTTTAAAAAAATGAGGCTGGGAACGTAAATTCATAAGTTTGCTAGACACTAAAAATGATGGATTTCATAAAGACACTGGATTCATGGCATATGACAATCAGTAACCACTTACTCCCCTTTTTGTCTCATGACTGCAGTGGTGTTAATGGGCTAATTGTGTTAACTCCTTATGCTAAATAATCTGTTCAAAATTATATTTAGCCGTGCCGCTCTGAAGCAGAGCTGTGTCAGCTCTAAAGTTTGTCTCTCTCACCAACATAAGTTGATCCAATAAAAGATGTTACCTCCCCCACCTTGTCTCTCTGAGAGCAAACAGTCCTTTCTCCTCCCACCGGGTAACGGGATGCGAAATACAATGGGAACTGATGCACATGTAGGAGTCATGCAAATATTACAGAAAATTCCCACTTCACCACGCAGACCCTAAGCACTGGGAACAGGAGCAGCAGATGGATATACATATACATCCAGCAGCAGACCCTGGGCCAGCATGCTGGGTATAGGGAACAGTGGAGAGTACACACACAGCAGCTGTGCCAGGTGAGGGGGCAGGGAGCTGCTGATGGTTTCTTCCCCCTCTCAGGGACATGGGAGTCACTAGACTAGATGAGACCCCCACCCACTCAACCCTGAACTCCTCTGGAGGAAAGTGCAAGTTCCAGGCAGTGGGCCGTGCTGGCCTTGAGTGTCCCAGGTACTATGGTCTTGACAGACCCACAGAGAAGTTCGCAACACACATTAAAGATTCCTTATAAGCTGCTTTTACAACTCAAAATGGGAACACACCAGAACCCCCAAACAGAGAGAGAGAAAGCAGGCTGCTCCCTAAGGGTACATCTACACAGCAGGGCTTAACTCGAAAGAAGCTACACAAATTGAGCTATATCAATTGCGTATCTTATTTCAAAATAGGGAGCGTCTACACAGCATTTATTTCAAAATAGAGCTCTCTTCCTCTGACTTCCCTTATGCTATGTCTAGACTGCAAGCCTCTTTTGAAAGAGACTTTTTTGCAAGATACTTTTGAAAAGGCCTCTTTCAAAAAAGAGCATCTAGACTACAACCAGTACTTTCGAAAAAGCAAACCGCTTTTTCAAAAGGGAGTACCGAGGCAGTCTGGGATGCTCTCTTTCGAAAAAGCACAGTTTGCATTACCTAGCACCTTTTTTCAAAAGAGCACTTAGGAATAAAGGTGTTATTCCTCATAAAATGAGGTTTGCCGCTGTCGAAAAAACTGCCATATACTTTTTATGTACTTTCAAAAGAACACAGCAGCAGTCTAGATGCAGGGGAAGTTTTTTTTTTTTTTTTCAAAAAAAGGCCACTTAAAAAAAAAAAACACCTTGTAGTCTAGACACACCCTTTCTTATACAATGAGGGTTACAGGAGTTGGAGCAAGAAGTCCTCCTGCTTGACAGTATGTTGACACTATTTTGAAATAGTCCTCTCTACACAGCAGGCAGTGAAGTTATTTCAAAATAGTGTTGCAGTGTAGACATATCCTAAGACAGACACACATCTTGTTCCCGCACTAGTATAGATTGCCTAGCTTCAGACTCTTGGCTGACAGGCAATGAGGGTTACAGGAGTTGGAGCAAGAAGTCCTCCTGCTTGACAGTATGTTGACACTATTTTGAAATAGTCCTCTCTACACAGCAGGCAGTGAAGTTATTTCAAAATAGTGTTGCAGTGTAGACATATCCTAAGACAGACACACATCTTGTTCCCGCACTAGTATAGATTGCCTAGCTTCAGACTCTTGGCTGACAGGC